CAGGGGGTACCCCCTGAACCCCTGCGCACAAGCGCTACGCCCGTGTCCGCGTTCGTCTGTGGGAGTGAAACAAGACCGTCACCCCCAACACTCGCACTAAAGCCACTCCTTGCCTCGTAGACCTTGACGGGCTCTGTGCGAGTGTTGGTTATGACAGCAGTGTCCCCGCTTTTGCGAGGGCTGGGCAGTGTCTGTAGGTGCCCGTTGCTTAACCCGTTGTCCTCTGTATCAGCTTCCAAGACCAATCATAAAAACTTGGTCTCTCTCTCTCTCTCTCTAGCAGGACAGAGGAGGCAGGCGGGCACCCACCCCCCCGCGCGCGGACGCGCACCTGTGGTCCACAGGTTTTGTGACTCCCTTCTCCAATTTGGATCAGAGAAGGCTCGGCTGAACATGGAGAGGAAAAATCCCCCCGGAGCCCGTAGGGACTCTGCATCTCTCTGTCTCTGTCCGTCTCAGTCCGTCTCTGTCTGGCTCTGTTTGGCTCTGTCTGGCTCTGTCTGGCTCTGTCTCTGTCTGTCTCTCTCTGTCTGGCTCTGTCCGTCACTCTGTCTGTCTCGGCAATCCGGGACATTGGCATGCACCTCGATGCCCTGCACTGATCGATGCTACCGAAAATTCTGACTTGCCGCAGCTAGAGCTGCAGCTAGCCAGCGACAGCGAGCTCGTCCGGCGCGCCCAGCAATGGCCCTCGAGCTGCTCGGGAACGCTGGTTAAGCGGCCAACAACAAAGGCCCATCGAGGGGTGCAGCAGCGCACGCTGCACCTGCAATGAGCTCTGGGACTTTGCTTCTTGTGCTCCCTCCGTCTCTCGCAAAGCAGCCTGCAACTGCGTGGCATACTGGTAAGCGGCGATGGAGGGCAGCAGTAAAAGGATGGAGAGCCAGACCAGGCCGGACAACTCCGTCGGGCCCAGCAGGGGCCAGTCGACGTAGGCGAAGAGCACCGTTGAGACCTCTAGTTCGATCTTACAGTCTAGGCTAGTCCAGGCGTCTAGGCAGCGACGGTATCTTCGAACTTGTGCCGAGCAGCCGGGAAAATTGCCTTCAACGCGATGAACGTGGCTAGCGCTCCTGAATGCTTTACAGACAGTAGCACGGCCATGTTCCAGAGCACGTTGAAAATCACGTAGATGCCGACGCCTAGGCAGCGGCCCAGGCCCAAAAGAACAGAGAAAGCTTCTCGGCTTTGCCAAAAGCGCACCTTTCATTCTCGGCTCTGAGATGCTCTGAGGTTCGGACAGCGGCCGGCGAGCTCCCCGTGGTTCGAATCTTCACCGCAGCTCTCTGCCCGTCCACTGAAGACGCAATCTAGGGCTTCCCGGGTGTAGGCACCGATGCCTTCACTGCATGTCACCATGCGCATGTCTCACCCGGAGAACAAAACATGCCAAAAATCACGCCTTCGCCATGGGTCTGCTTCAGCAGCACATTGAGCGGTATGAGGAGGATCGTCAGAGGGAGCCTCAGCTCGGAACAGCTGCCCTACCTTGGCCGATAGCCGTCAAACTGCAGTCTTTGGCTAAAGACTGGAAGAGCGCCAGGTGGGCATTCATGACAAAGATGTTGAGGCCAGAAGTACTCTCATCTTGCTGTTTCTGCACAAGGCCAACTTCTGGGACCTCTGAGACGACACAAAGGAACTGGCCTTGTATCGCTTGAAGACGAGCTCCTTGAGCACGAACGCGACCTCTGCATATCAGCGAGGCGGGTGGAATCAAACAAGCCAAAGCACCGGAAAACACATGGCGGGCGAAGATGCGCAGACACGGAGGCGGACGAAGCTGCGTCCAAGATGCTGCGTTGAAGATGCAGCTGCCTGGACACCAAAGCCAGATCTCAGAGAAGAGAGCGCATCTTATGCGCTCCGCATCGCTCCGGACTCCCACTGCCTCCCAAGATGACGGCGAACACAGGATCGGTGGTCGCACTGAGACCCTCCAAGGCAGGCAGCAAGCCTGTGACCTGGCAGCGAGCCGTGGCGCGCACAAGATGTGAATGCGCAGAACGCCCACTCGTTTTCATCGTAGCTCGGGGTCACACTACTGCCATGAAGACCTGGCAACAGAAGAGAAGGCTGGTCCGCAACGGAGCGAAGGCACTGAGAGTTGGACCCCCAGCAGTGCCAGAGACTGCATCAGCGAGTAACGCTCTTGGAGAAGGCACCTGAGAGAACGAGAGAGCAGAGAGAAGAGAGCGAGCGGTCGCTCATGTCATGCGCGTGGTGTTGCCCTTCGGGGCTCGGACATGGAGAGGACGGCGATGAAGATGGGCGTGCAATTCGACAGCAAGGAGTGCAGTGGACCGCTCACGTGAGGAGTGCAAATAGCCCCGATGGTGTCGCCGAGAGAGTCCCCTCGGGAATCCGCCCAAAATAGGCACAACAAAGCCTCTCCACGCACTGCTCCGTTCATGCTTTTCTCTTTGCTGCCAGCGACCCAGGGCCGACACAAAAAGGAGAGCCACGGCTGGCGTGGCAGAGGCCACAGCGTTGCTTTCGGCGCCCCGCTGCCAGACGAAGCGGAACTGGGATTTGGGCACCACTCCGACGAGCAGCAGAAGCGTCAAAATGAACCTCGGAACCGAACCACAAGCAAAACGCCTTTCGCTACCGACCTAGTGCAGCCTGCAGGCCAGTATAGCGGAACATATGCGACTGCGGTGGAAAGCCCCAGCATGTAAGTGTAGCCTCAGACACTCAGACAGGTGTCCTCTTGCCGACAACATGCGAAAGCATGGACGAAGACACGTCACATGCCCTGCACCCACCCGAAGCTACAACATAATCATCTCTGAAGGCAGGCGTCGCTTGAGGGGCTGTGCGGCGATTTGCTTGGCAATGTTGTTCGCACAGCCGAAAACGACCACTGCTACCAGCAAACAAACCTGCAGGAGGAAGGAGGAGTGGCCCGTCTTCTTCGAACCTTACGCAATCTTCAATCGCGAGGGAATCGACTCGCTGAAAATCAATCGTTTCGACGGCCTTCGGATTGTGTCGAAGGCGAGCGTTCATCGATCGCTACCTGGACACAAACACAACACGGCATTCTGTTTGCTCATGCAAGCCGAGCAGGCCTCCATTCCTCGTGGCTGAGATGCTCGCGCATCGCATGAACTTCGATCATCCATCAATGGCTTTCCAAGGCTCCCCGTGAACAAAAAACGACTGTGCACAGTCATGGGGCACCGGGTAACTCGAGCCGTGCTGAAGGCGGGCAGCATCACGAGTCAGTCTGCAGGCTTTCAACTACTCAGCCCCCGGCCGCGAGCGCAGCACCGAGCGACACAGCAGCATTCTTGCAAGATCTTCCGTTTGAGAATGTTTCAGCATGTTATCAATTAGCCGCGTACAAAATGCGAGGATTGGGTGGAACGTGCAAGCTTGCGAAAAGATCCAGGTTTACAAGTTGCCATTGTAGCTCTGAGCCGACACAATCGGAATGAAACCAGCAAGTGACCCAATGTTTCCATTCCAGTGTTACGTTCGTTCTGGTGCCTATCTCCCTCTCGCTCTCCTGTCGTCTCTTGCCGACGAGCTGCACGAAAACGGGTCCGCCTGGTCCGTGAAAGCTTGCATGGACAACAGAAATATGTGGAAGTCTGAGTATACACAATATGAACCGTTCCACTTTTCCAACATACAGAATCCGACAGTCGCTTTGCTTCGTTTCAACTCATAGGCTCAGGGATAGTTCAGATAGGCTTGCACTGCTCTAGCACATGACCTAGCGCTCGTTTTCCGTGTTGCATCTGTAACGGCAGAGTCGAGGCTAGCCACAGAGGGGAGGCCCGGTCTTCGGCTAGCCGAGGCCTGCCAAAGAAACCCCCCTTTAGGCTAGGCTTTGTGACAGGTGAGACTCCTTGGAGGCCACTAGGAAATCTCTTGAGAAATGTGTTATGTAGGCTAGCCTGATCAAGGCGATGAGGCTGTGGCAACTATATAGCCTGAGCATAGGCAGCTGAGGCAGAGGCAAGGTGAGACAGCTGATTGTGAGACATGGTTTCAGAACTGGAAGTAGACGATGTCCTAGGCGAGGGCCAAACCCGAGGCGGGTATCTGTGATGCCACTATGTGGCTTGTCTGGCTGGCGGCCTCAGAAGGCTGAGGTCAAGGCTGATAAACAACCAAGCGCGACCGAGGCGAATCGCGTGTAGGACTGCAGCAGGCTGTGTCACAGAAGCACAAATCTGCTGTGTACGCGGACACTGAGGCTGGGGCGGCGAGTAGGCTCGGCACCACTGATGCGAACCTCCGCAACGAGGGTCCCTCTTGGCGGACACTGACGAGGCTCTAGCTGTCCGAGGCTGAAACGAGGCATTGGCGAGTACCTGAGGCATGACAGGAGTGGGCGGGCGGGGCTTTTT